GAGAGTGGTAGCACATTCAGAGAGAAGAGGGACAGGCTCCACTCTCCTGTCCCTCAGCCTGACAGGCAGAACTCAGCCACACAATTTCACGGTTTGTGGGCAGTACACACCACTGCTTCCCCCATCCCCGAAACCCACGGACCCACGGAGTGTGTGTGTGTGTGTGTGTGAGAGTGTGTGAGCTTGTGCAGATGAACATAAACACACACTCGGTCTGCTATTAATAGCTGGGAAAATAAGAAATCAAATATTAATCCTTCAATGTCCACCTGGAATTGAAATACAACAAAAAAAAAGAAGGCAGACTTACCATTTTGTTATTGATTTCATGAAAATGAATTTCACAGACTTTCTCTACGATGTCTTCACTCTCAAAAGTTATGAAACCAAATCCTATGCAGAGAGGAAACAGTTGGGGAGGGGAAGAGAAGGGAAAAAATAGAGAAGAGACTGAGTTAGTTAAAAGATTTAACAAAACTTTAGAAACTTAAAGAAAATACACCACAAAATGGAATATCATCTCGAGCCAGATCCGGAAAATATGCGAGCACATCTGTGGAGATTGGCTTTGGCATGGTCGTGAACAAGACAGACATTGTCCTCTTTAAATCAGAAATATGATGAAATCTGCCACATTATTAAGGGCACTCAAGGACCTCTTCTACAAAGAGACGATGGAAAAACAGCACAAAGCTCATTTAATGAGATCCAGGGAGCTTCGGCCCCGCATCTGAATTTCATTAAATGCATTTTGTGTTCTTTCTATTGAAATCTCACTGTATAACAAGCCCCCATTTTTATGTTAATACAAGCCTTAGAATGAATGTGTCGTTGACAGAAGGATTTTCATGCCATATTTATAGGATAAAAGCTTAACCCCTCTTTTAAACACAAAGACACAGAGACAAGATGGTTTTAGACTTTTGAGCACAAGTGGATTGCAATGCTGTCCTCTGTGTTTTGATGGCCATACACAAAGCAATCTAGTTTCTGCGGAGCTAGAGTCGAAGGAAAAAAAGGCATATTCTATTTCTTGTGCAAAAGAGAAGCTGTCAGTGAATAGATATAGCAGCGAGTGGGACTGAGGGGACAACACGTTTTTTTTTTTTTTTCCACCAGCAAACAGAGTAGAATCATGTCTGGTTAAGCGGCTGCCACCAGACTGACACACGCCGCCATTCTTTTTGGTTGTTGGCTTCGTGCACGTGTGCCCGTGATCATTTTCCAAACACATACCATAGGATCCACACACAAAAGACGTCAGACACCCTTAAGAGATTAGGCTGTATTTACCAAACTAGCGTGGCTTATCCCTTCAGCATGTCTGGCTGCATTAGGCCAATTCTGGCAGAGCCCTAAATCGATCGGCAGCACTGCTGTTGGCGTGTCAGGATCTTTTTAAAAATCAATCAATCATTAAACCCATTTATTTGTCTATAATCCGATACAATGAAACATTTCCTACATGATTATTTTAGTTTGAGAATAAAAAAAAAAACATGTTTAAGCAAGCGTGTCAGAGAGATATGACAGTGTCACATGACCCACTCATGCTGTGTGTGTGTGTGTGTGTGTGTGTGTGTGTGTGTGTGTGAGAGAGTGTGTGTTGGTAAATATTTGGCAGCTTTACACATTCTTATATCTACATCTGTTTTCAGGAACAGCTAAATTATTGATGGATTAGAGTACATTAGTCTCCTAAGCAGCTTATTCTATTAATTCATCAGATCATTCGGGGAAAACCAGATTTCTTTTTCTGGGCTGTTTGTGCTGCTCACCACAGTGGGAAGCCCATCAGAAAAACACTGACATTTTCAGTTCTGTCATAAAGTCTTTATCTCGTGCTTGCATTTTTTTCTCTCCTGCTCCTCCTTCAATTCCTCCCCATAAATAACACGAGATTCTCCCTAACCCCTTCTTCTGACGCCGGCTAGAAACAGTCTCGTCAAGAGGAGTGTCTGAAAGCTAATGTGCGAGCTGTTTTAACGCGAACGTCTCATGTAACGAGATCTTATGAGACAGAATGTCAATATCCAGCGAGACAGCTCAACAGTTAGATGTGGTGAGAGCAAACTGCACATGTGAGAGGCACGGCGTAGGCCTGGGACAGGTGATGACGACAAGCAGGAGAAGGATGGAGAGAGGGGGGGGGGGGGCCCCGTTCTGCCGCTCACTGCACACCTTCAGCGCGAGGAGCCCTTTTGACAACCGACAAATCAACCGCCAGGAGTAATTTGTCATGGAGGAGCGCAGGAAGACAGAGACCGAGTCTCAGGGAATGGGAACGGAGAGGGGAAAAAAGGTAGAGATGAGGGGATGAGGGATGGGGGAGAAAGACCCAAAAAAAAAAAAAAAAGTGACAAGGGAAGAGGTTAACACACTCTCTGTCGCCACACTCCTTCCTGCTCCTACGGGCAGCTCCTCCATCAAGTGACAGGACATTTTCCACCGCGGCATTATGTGCGTCGGGGGTCACGGCCGAGCCATACCACCACAGATACCACCAGCAGGGCTCCTCCACCCGTGACTGAATCTGTACAGACCAACAGAGAGACATCCTCACATCCTGAAAAGCCGCCTGTGTGTCCAGCTCACATATGCAAAAAAACCCAACAAAAATCAAATAAATAAAAGGAAGACAACAGACATTTTTTCTCTTGTCCTGACTCAGGACACACCTCCTAAATCAGTCCCTGGAGAGCTGCCTGCTCCGCGGCTCCTGCCTTTTGTGGAGCTGTTCTTTTCAGCTACTATCCAATTTAACAGACCTTACAGACAATTACAGGCTGCAAAAACACTTCAAACGTAAACACGTCTTTCTCTCGGAGCCTTTCTCCTGCTGGGGTGTCAGCTCAGCGAGACTGTCCACAGGTATCCCTGCCCTTCTCCTCCAGCTATCCACACATGGCAGGAAGCTGACCTTCACACAACTATTAAAAGACTGTCAATTTTTCTGACAGACACGAGTGGAGAGGTGTCAACATGCTCTCAATGAAGGGGCCTTCCCACGGCTTAAGCAGGAGCCTGTAAATGGAAACACATGGATGTCATTTAAAAAGGCTGGTAATAGGTGTTACACGGCTACTGGCTGATGCCTCTTGGCTGTACTTTGCTCACACTTATTAGCCATAACTGGGCCTTCCCCTCATCTCATCACTCCCCGGGATCGGCGGGGAGCCTACTTTTCACGGACCTTTTACCAGCTTCATCAGATTCGCTTTTTTATTTCACACTCAGCGCAGATTTTTTTCCTGCTTTTGTTGATTTAATGCTTTCCACCCACCTTCAGTCACTCAGCCTTGCGAAGTCTAAAAAAAAAAAAAAAAAAAAAAAAGTGGGGGAAAAAAAAAAGGCTGATTTGGGCTCGAGCAGATCCGGGGAGAAATTGCAAATTGATGCAGAGATGTTGACTTAGACGTGAGAGGTGGCATCGCCGCTTTAAAATGAGAGCCTATAAAAACTTGAAAGCCTCTCTAAAATCGTCCCCTTTAGTGTCTGCCATGAAGTCTTTTCCTCACAGATGAGAAACCGCTTAGAAAAAACCTTACAGTCAAATATAAATAAAAGAAGCTATCGTCGCGCATATTTATTGATTCTGTTTTTCCTCCCAAAGGATTCATAAAATGTGAGAGCCATAGTAAGTAGTAGACTTACAACCGGTGGTGACTTATTCTTTCAAAGATTGGAGAGCGTGAGGATGTGTGGGGGTGGAGGTAAGGGTGACATAAATTCACAGCTGCTATGTATAGCAGGCATCCCCCTACTCCCTGATGACTGCCTCTAAATATAATGCCTTTAAGTGCATGAGAATGCAACGAACATATGAATCATCACTGATATACAAGGTATACACCTGGTATTTATTACACACCTTTCTGGGTCAATGTTCACCATGAACAAATCAGAGGAAAGAGGGATGCAGAGTCTCTGGGTTCAGGTGTGCAGCTGGAGTTGTCTCTTCTGTGCCGAACTGTTTGGGCTCCAGGGTTCCAGTTTATGTTTAAGTACATTCAAAGCCCCCGACCTCTCGGGCAATTAATAACAAACTAAAGCATCACTTATCGGAACGTAACTGTGAAGCTGAGGCCCTTTTGGGAGACAGTGGCCGAGAGGCTAGAGACTTCTAGAACTGTAGCGTCTTACAGGAAGTGTCCGCTGTCCCTTTTGGGATGCGACACACCTGGATGGCAGCCGCCCAGACCCGATGTGTGCAGGGAAATACAAAGGCGCTAGCATTACCCACGCCAGATCTGGCGCTTACGTGCAAGCTAGGCTGCTAATGGTCATGGAGCAACCGCAAATCTCCTCCGCTTATACCTCCGAAATGAATTTGTGATTAGGCACTCAGTATGCACCATCAAGCTTTCACTTGTCCCATCAGAGGAGAGTCTGCAGAGGTCTGTCTGCCTGCATGCTCTGTCTCCCAAAGCCTATCTCCTTATAATGCAGAGAAGCAGACAGAGGCAGTCCGAACACCCACGGCACAGTTAGAGTCCTTTGATCAGTATTTCCTTCTCCTATTAGTAGAGATCCAGGGCCCTAGGCATTAATCCCATTTAATACAGTTAACGCTGTGAGCTCTCCAATAGTGGGGCACATCTCAGAGAACAACTGCATTTCCCCCTCCTAAATAAAAACTAAACAAATGTTTCGACTTCTTAAGATCTATTCGTACAGTTAGGTTTGAAAATCTCACACCAAGCTCGAAAAAAGATTCAACTGAACACATTACCCTTCGGATAAAAAGGACGGGTGATTAGCACAGAAAACAAAAATGAAATATATTCCGGTTGGAGGTTAATAAAGAAAGCAGAACTTAGCAGATAGAAAGACAGATGCATGGAGACGGAAAAGCTCCCAAAGGCACACCCACTAGATTCCCTCATCAAAGCCGAGACACCAGTCGATTAAATTCAAACACAAATAAACGTGACTGCTTTTATGCGCGCTGGTCTGTGGGGGAATGCGAAGACGGCCGACGTGAAATTAATCCCACAAGTGTACAGTAAACTGAGCCATGAGCACTGTTTCAGTCAACACAACACTCAGAAGATAAAAGTGATGGGACGAGGCCGGTTTAAACGGAAGATCAAACATGAATGGATTTTTCTATTTCTCTCTCTGCTCTTACATTTAATGAATTATATTTGCATGATGCGCTGAGTGGACGTCTTTGGAAAGCAAGAGGATGATACAATACTCCAGATAAGTACTCCAAAACATTGATTAAGTGTATTTTCGCTTCACCTGTGCTTTTCATTCACTGGGGAATAAGTATTAGGTTAAATTTAGGAGCCTACGGATCAGTCAGGCCTTAACTAGCTGTGTCTAAACGGTTATCTATCCATTTATGTCAGCAGTTTCTTGTGAACATTGATTAACATTATATCAATCAGGAAAAAAAAAGCAGAA